AGAAGAGTATTGATTGTAATGTGTAATCAGTTTATAAGAAATTAAATAATATAATTTAGCATATAGTTGATGGTTGAGCAATTAGATAGATAATTGTTATCAGTTAACTAAGAGGAGTCAGATTCTCCTTTAAAATTTTATAAGTAAGGCAAAAGCATTTGGGTATCCGAAAATGAGATCCCTAATTTGTATATATACTAATGAAATCAATGATAGTAAAAGGGTGTGATCATTGTTATTGACATAATGTAAGATAGACTAAATCACAGGCAATGGGGAAATTTTCTACAAGAGAGGAAGAGAAAGATTAGAGAAAAAGATAATAAATTTTAAGTTTAGAAAACTTTATGCAAAATTTCTGAAATACTGAGAAATAATGTTAAAATTTTCCAATATTAATATCTTGGTCCATTATACTCTTTTAAATAAACCCCCTAAATTATTAAGGAGGTGTTGTAAATACTATTCGCTTTATGCAGGACTAACAAGTACTACTATACAAGGTCAATATATTCAAAGAGAGGAATATATTTCTGTCGTACATGTGTAAAAGGACAGAACAAACTTTAATTCAGTCTCATAAAGAAATACAGAGTCTATGATTCACCTAAAATAATATTTTTGAGCAAAATTTACGTATTGGTTCAATATATAATCCTAAATTACAAAAATTATAGAATCATATAAGATAATTAGATTTATAAACTTCTGTACTATCAATCAGAAGATGCTATACATAGATATAAATTTAGAATAAAGAAGTTTTTTAGAAAAAATGCCAACACGACAATAAAAATTTATTCAAATACAAGGAGAGATGGATATAAATGGAAGAGGTTAGTATAATCAAATAATTCTAAAGTATTAATTTGCATTTTATAGGATTTTAAGACTAAATTTTAGAAGATACGAATTTGGAGCAAAATATTCCTCTAGAATAAAGATAAGAACAACTTTTCTCATAAGTTATAAATATTAGGCTTAGACTTCATTTATATTTTACGTTTTACTCTCATGATAAATTCTTAAAGAATATTCCATAATTTTAACTCTTAATAGCTCTAATTATGAAAGAAATTTAATTAAAAAACATTTATTTTATTTTTGTATTCTTCTACCTATTGTTCTCCTTCATATCTTTTTTAAATTGCGATTATCAGGAAGATTTGTAATGTTTCATTTTTATGGATATGAAGTGTAAGTAGTATTTATTTTAATCAAGGAATTTAAATGTGGCTTACTCTTCAAGATATTCCCAACTCTGAATTATGTTCATCGTTTAGCATCCAAAGATTCTTAATCTTAATCTTCATATACATATTCATTTTAAAGTTATTTTAAAATATAATTTCGAAATTCTTCACAAACATAAATTTTTAAGCTCCTTTGTTGGCCTTAAATTAAAATTTAAATCTATAGATTAGAATAAAATTTGATTATATATGATACTAATAAAGAGTATTTATGGAAAGGAAGCGCAAAATAAGATTTTCGGATAACTCAATTTTAATTATAATGATTCTGATGATTAAACTTATATAGAAAATAAGAATGTGAATAAATTAGATGAGATGAGATTTTGATTGAATCTTTATAAATATTCTAAAGAAAGTGAACATTTTTGGGATCAGTAACATTGTATAAAATAGTATTAATTTTAATTTATATGATTTACTTAAAAAGTATTAAAAAAATGTTTAATTTACATTTAATATATAGATAATTTAGTAGCTTGTTTATGATTAGCTCACAATTAATTATTTATATCATGAGAAAAAAACCATAAATAAATATTTTTGAAAGAATTCTTATTATTCCAAATACTCTGAATCAATCTATTCCATCATATCGAAACAAGCGCCCTTTCAGGATCTACATATTATTCATAGTGTAAAGTTAAAGTTTGATATGGATGTCAAGAGGAGAAGATGTTAAAAAAAACTTAAATAAAGCTTCGGTTTAATATCATGATATCAATAAATAAGAGTTTAATATTATTTTATTACCTTTAATATTTATTTAAAATTTTGAAGTACTTTAATTTTAATGTGCCCAATTTAACGAGGCAAATGCCTAGTTTGTTTACAAAAGCATTGTCTTTTGTATCCTCATCAAAAAATATAGTGTTTTAAACTTGACATGACTGATTTTATGGAATATCTTTGACTTAATAATTAAAATAACTCTGATTAAAAAAATGTGCTTTTCCTAAATGAATTTTTTGATTATTGTACAACATTCGCTTCCCTGATTGATGTGCTAAGGTTTATACACTTGGTCATTAAGTTCGTCTCACCGTGAAATCAATTTAGATTATATTTAAACAATGCTAAATTATAAGTGAAATAAGAAAATCATTACGGAAACTTACTTAGGACTTTAATAAGAATTAAAAAACTAATGATTCCAAACATTGCAATTATTCGCTTATCTTATATAAATAATGAGAGGGAGAAAAGTTAGACTAGAATGAGTGATGAAAGAATGTATTAATTTAGATGATGGTGTCGATAATTAGCAAAGGTGAATAAAAATAAAAATCTCAAACATTTAATGAGTTCACATCCAACTATGGATGTAGAGAAGGTGAGAAAACCAATTAAGGTTTTAAATGAAATATTAAAGTTTGGTGGAAAAGTGTAGACAAACTTATTTGGCAGTTAATTATAGGGCATGATTGATGGATAAGCTAGAGAAGAGAAATGATTGAATAAGGCAACAATATTTATAGAGATAGATCATAAGAGATATAAAATAATAATAAATAACCTGGCTAATCTCATAGGATTGTAATTAAACATGGGAGAGTATACAAGAAGATTTTAATTGGAGTAGTCAAAAGTATCTTTATAATATAGCTTCTGAAATGAAAATGAATGCATGAATTATTTTTTTCGAGTAATATTTATAAGGAAATAATGGTGGAATTATTTTAAATACAGGAGGGCATTCAATTTGATTAACATGAGCTTTTGAAAACGACAGTTGTAGCTATAAATCAATAGGATATTGACAATTAAGAAACTATCTATATATTAACTAATAATTTAACAGTGTTATATTTATATGTTAGAGATAAATAGACATCAAGATATTTTTAAGGAATGGTAAAGAGTTTAAGCATTTAGAAATCAATTAATTGTGCTTTGAGGACGATGAGCAAGTTTGAGGATAAAAATCATTTACTTTATATATAAGAAAAACAAAATTATATGAAAAATATTAAAATTTAGCATCAGATTTAGTTGACATCAGCTCTAAAAAATGAAAACTATAAGTAGTTTAGAATCAGTCACTAAATGAACGACTACATTAAGTTCAAACAAAGAAAATTATTATCATTTTAAATTCCTTAAAATAATTTCAAACTTTATGCAATAGAAGGTGAATAAAAGAAATTTCTATAGTCAATTCATAAAATATATAATATCTTAATTAGGCAATTGTAAATTTATAGATCCTTTCATTGAGTATATCAGGAATGTTAGATTGAAATAAAAATTGTATAGTTATTCAATGAAATAACCATATAGACTTAAATAGATAATGTTAATATTCAACATAAATTGAAACAGATGCATGAAGTATTCGGAAATTTTATTTAATTAAAAAATTAGTTATGAGGAAGAATCAAGATAAAAAATAGATTCTTAAATTTATTGCAGAATTCAATCTAAGATTATCGTAATAAATTTTCAATTTCTATAATAAAAATAAATTAAAAATGAATGAAGAATCAATTAAGTAAAATAGTATTTGAATAATTAGATCAAACTTAATACAATTAATTATAAATTATGAATATTGATGTTAGGAATTCAAAGATACCTCATTTTATTAATCAGAATCCATTGCTTTACATAATAGTTATATAAATAGATTGATGTAGACACAAATAATTGGCAAAAGTACATTCAATACTATTTGAAGATAAAAATGTCTAATAAACATCAAGAATGGCTTTTGAAACAGGGATTATTGAGTTTGTAACAAAACATAATTGAATTAATATGCTCATTACTTATTTTGATTTTGGATATTTTAAATTTATAATATTTAAAAATGATACAACTTTTAAAAGTGATTAATGAATCAAATTTAAATTTCATTTTATATATATTTTTATAAAAATAAGAAGCTATTGATGATAATTTCATTGCTTATTTAAAATAGAGAGTAATATATGAATACTATATGATGCCCCAATTAAGAAATCAATGATGAGAATGTATGGTGATAACTTGTTAGAAAAGTTTATTATACAGCAATTTACTATATATAGTTAAGGAATTGTAAACATGAAAATTTTTATTCGAGTTCAATCATTCTGGATACAATTTTAATAGAAAATATGATTCAAATGACCTTTTAACTATATTATAGGATCATTATATGAGTTGTAAATCAATAATTGCAAGCCAACAATGCAATCTGCTTTTATTTAAATTCTAATTAATAAATAAAATGATTATTTATATTTGAAATTGTTTGTATTCTACGGTAATTTCTATTAACAAGGAAGTTTAGTTCATTTATAAAAGAATTGAATTCTGAAATATTCCTCTAATTGAGAATAAAATTATCTCTGTTAAAAAGCTAAAAATGAATTTTCTTTGTTAATACTTATAAGTTTAATAAATTATTATTTATTCAAGATTAAGATATTTATGTTGAAGAGAAAAAAAAAAAAATTATTAATTTTTAGACTTCTTTTAATTGCTATAAAAATATAATCTATTAATTTAGCTCATATTTCTCTTATTCAATTTTTTTTTTCAAAATAATTAGTTAATTTTAATATTCTTACATTCTGATTCTCATTTTTTTATTTTCTTTAATTGTTCTATCAGATATTCCCAACTATTTGTTTATATATAAACTTTATGAATGATCTTCCTTTTATTCATCTAATTATCTATCAAATTCTTCAACTTTTGGCATAATTAAATGTTATCTTCTATGAGAATGATAATTTATTTAAGTTATTAAGAGGTTTTGTATTATGCAATTTATTTTAAGTCTTGTTTTTTTGCGTTAAAAATATTCTTTGAATTATGAAATATAGTTTATAACTAATTTTTTTTTTTTATGGAGATTTGAACTAGCCTTGTAGTTTTAGAATCATTACTATAGTCTTATTTTTAGCATTTTTATATTTTGATTAATAATAAGGATTACTTTTTGTTGTACTCAATTTCATATTAAAAATTTCAATATTATCTTCATAATCATGAATTTAATTTTCTTAAGTCTCAATTAAATTTAGTTATATAATTGTTCTTATTGTTTATCATGAGGGTCTATATATTCTGGCGGCTTAAATAATTATTTCGTTTCCATTAATTGAATTATTCTTTATCTATTGTGAAAACTTATATTTTCTCTTCTTACACTGTTTTTTTATTGTAAAAATTATATTTTCTAATTTCTACTCTTGTAAACAAGAGATGTCTTAGAAATTGAATCAATAGAGTTGTAAACAGTTTTTTTAAAGAATAGAATTTAAACTATTAATTCTCTTTAAATTCGGTAACTTCTGGATTTGGAATAAGAATAGTAGGAGCATTTTATTTAATCATTTCTAATTCTTCAATTATTTTTAACTTGCTTCCTTAAATTCCAATATTATCATTTTAAGTAATCATAATTTTAGATTACCTTTCTAATATGTCTAGTTTATCTTTATATCTTTTAATCTCTGTTCTCCTATTATAAATTAAAAAATGATTAATTTTACTAAATTATTATACTACTCTATTGTACTTTTTGGATTTCAACACACATTGCAAATATAATATAGATTTTCCCTATAAATGAGGACAACTAAAATCAAGTCTCTATTGAGTAATACCAAAAATCCAAAAAATACTAACAATTTTAATAAATTGTACGTCAACAAAATTTTATTGTGAAGGAATTTTAATAATTTATTTTAAATTACTTCAACATAATTTAATTTAGAGAAATTTTCATAAGATATTAAATGAACTTTTGTAATATTTAGAAATTTATATCATTGCTCTCTTTTACTCTTGCTGGTTATAATAAAATATATCAAAAACTTTAGGTTAAATAAATCAATCACTACTTATTTATCTAATCAGCATTCTATACTTTATTTTAACGCAATGTTCAACAATATTCATAGAATTTTCATTATAAAATAAATGTAATTAATTACTCTTATTTTGTTAATTTCTTTAATAATTACTCACTAATACTGCATAATCTATATAATTCATTATTAAGAATTTTCCTACTAAATTCTATCATAAAGAATTTCTTTTCTATTTTCCCATTCAATTTAAATTGTATAAATATTGGTACTCTTAATGTAATATCTCTTCGATCTCTCTTCTTGAAAAAACTACTAATAAAAAATAGCATTCCTATTATCTATGAAATTATCACTAGATAATATTTAAATTATTATTGTGTATCCTACTCGGATACAGCATTATGCTATGCCACTTTTATTTTTATCTTAACTTTTGTAATTGACTGTTTACATAATCATATCTATTTTCATCTATCCTTAATCTTTATATAGTTTTGATATTTTTATTATGAATTAGGGAATCTGCTATTGTAATGTTTTGTTTGCTTCATGGTTGGTTGATTTGATGTAAATTTCTTAAACTCAGAGCTGATTTTATTATAATTATCTATGATTTTTATAGGATTATAAAATAATCTCATGATAATGTAGGGAATTCCTACTCGTTTGTGACATCAACTTTTTAATCTTATTGCTTGACTACTTTTTAAACCTCCTTTTTTATAAATTCTGTATCAGGTGCATTCTCATAAAAGGTTCTTCGGGCTTTAATCAAATCTATAGCCAAGTCAATTTAATTTGAATAAAATGGAGCAGCCACTTTAATTTGATCGAAATATTGGAATGTTGTTAAATCATGTTATAAGAATTAATCCTAAGATTAAGAATAATTTTATTACAGTTTCCTTTTTCTCAAACTTTGAAAGGTAAGAAATCAAACCATCACACAGTTCTAAAAGCTATAAATACAATATTTACTCATTAATTCATCTCTAGCTGTATTATTTTCATTATAATCTTACTCATCTTCACCCAAATCTTCTTCAATTTCCATATCTTCAGGAGCATCTGGATCTTCTACTTATATTCTATTGTAATGTCTTTCAATCTTTTTGGTATGCTTTTCCTCTGTCTTCTTGATCTTGTCAATCTTTTAAAGGATGTAATCTCTGTGTCTTTACAAATCCTATTAATCCTCATGTTGATCCTTCAATTTTATGTAAGCCTAAATGAGAATCAAAACTCTTTAAGCAACTCCAAATTAGAATTGAATCTTCTCTCTATCTTTTGTAATGGTGTATTTGAAGTTTTGTTGATCCCTTGTCATCTTTTAAACGATATCAGCATTCTCACCGCTTTTCATCAAAGCCTTCAATTTCTGTTTGTCTTAATGGTATTTTGAGTGCTCTTCAGAATATTTTGCTAACATCTCTCTTAATTGATGTAATTTGAAAGCAGCAAATTCATATTCGTTTTGAACCAATTTAAAATTTCCCAAACTAACTAAGTGTTAAGATGTCGAAGCTTCTTTGAACAGTGCTTCTACTTGATGCTAATGATATGAATAAATTATTACAATAGCCTATTCAAATTAATCAATTTCCTTCTAGATTGCGGCAGTCCATTCCTTATTTTTAATTCTTCCAGAGTCTTGTTTGGTTGAATTTCTGGGTGTTTTAACACTACTTTAGAAGATTTCTTTTATTTTTAAGCAGTCTTTGGTTATTGTATAATATGATTCATATATTAATTAATTGGATATGGTGATCAAAATCAACGCATTATAATAATAAATTGATAAATTAATTGTTTCATATATCATTCAAATAAATCTCAATAACTAAATTAGCATCATTTTAGAAAGTTATGAACAAAATTTCATTCATTATCTTTCATTCTTCGCTTACTACATACTTGTTAGTTTTTAAATTCCTTATATAAAAAATAAATTCAATATTTAATAAAAGCTATAAATATATAATGTTGAATCAATAACATGATATACTTACTCTTATTTTGTATAAGAGGAATAGTGGAAAAGTAAAATATTAGTATTAATTTCAAATTATTTTTAATTTTATTATTAAATAACTAGTGAAATATAAATCAATATATTAAATATTTTTAAATAAAATGATTATCATCATACTCTTAGGAATCTATATGATAAATGCATTTCGTATACCTAAAATCCACAAAGTAAGAGATATTTCTTTGTACCCAACAGTAGGAGAGTTTTATTAATATTAGTTGGAGAGTTTTATAAACTAAACCTAATAAATGTGCAAAATAGTACCTTAAGTTCCAAATGTATAATTAATCAATTAATGTGAAGAAATATGCTCAATAAAAGGATATTGTATATTATTATGTATATTATTATAGAATTTAAATCAATGTCATCAAACAATACACATTTTGGTACTTTGACTAATGATAATTAAGTAATTATATATGAATGGAAGAATTAAATGATTTAATAAATAGGTTAATCTATGTCAATTGATTCTTCATTTAATTGTTTTAACATCAACTTGTCTTTTGATTTTTCTATTTTGGTAGATTGCTATTATAACAATGAATTCTTTATAATTCAAATAACAAATGAATAATCAATTATTGCTTATTAAATATAATCATTTTAACCCACTAAAACTAAAATATAATCAATTATAAATGGAACAAATGCTTTTATAGTATATGCCTAATACTTTAACAATTATTCAATACTTTCACTGTTATCATCATCATTTTAAAATTTAAGTAGTTTAAATAATCAATTTGTCGATTTTGATTGCACAACTACAATAAGTCCAAATATTTATGCAATTACTTCCCAAGTGATTTTTTAATTATCAATATCTCCAGATGCTTAATTTCAATAAAAAACGAATTTTACCACCTTTGATTTCCATTATTTTAATACTATTAGTGTTTATTACAATTTATGGACTTATTCTTAATGTGATCAAATATTGTTATCATTTAAATAACCTTATAGAGGATAATGTTCCAGTTTATTGGGATGTGATAATAAAATTGTGGTAGCTGAAACTGCTCGCTATTTATAGAATAAGCCTGTTCTATAAATGTTCTAAAATAATTAATTTTTAATTTATTAGTTTAGTGATACAATTTTTATTTATGAATAACTTGCAGGGGAATTTTATACATTTCAATTAAATCAGTCAAATAATTCTCTATTATATTAGTTGGAATTAACATCACCAATATAATTTGCTTTGGCAGTTCAATCCTCTTATTTTTATATGCCTCTATTCTAATATAAGAATTCAATGATACTTCTTAAAGACAATTCTATTTATTATATTCATAGAGTCTAATAATATTAAATAAGTGAAGAAGTTTAGAATGAAAACTTTAACAACTCAAGAACTTATCCATCATTTGTTTACAACTTTAGTGTAACTTCAGTATTAAATGACACAGCCTTGTATTAAACTCCAAATTAAAGTGTTACTCTATTTACTAATTTCACAGTATTTTAGAATTTAACTTATATACCATAGATTAATCTAAGTAAAGATAATATAATTCCTCATACTAAATATTTCACATATCAAATGAATTTAATTCTTAATAGATAAGTTGCATAATGTAATTTAACTTAAAACTATGATTATAACGAATACTGCAGTTTAAGTTAATTTTAAGTTTAGCCTAGTATTATTGTTAATGATAATTACTCCATAATCACTTAAATAAATAATTAATATTTTGCTTTGCAGAATAATAAGTATATTTAAACTATAAATAGTGACTTAATTAATCTATTTAATTTTAGTTATTCATATCTAAATTTTAATGATTGTCTATAATCAACATCATATATTTACTAATTATATTCAATTTGTTAGAATGATACTGCATAATATTTATTTAATATTACACTAAATGTTCAAGGTAGAATAGTAAATAATAGTATTACATAACTTCCTTAAACTTTTATTAATATTACCAAAATTAGAAGTGTTTTAAACTAAATTTTTATCTTAGGTGAATTATACAAGGGAGATTAATATTTGTATTGGCTTAACTAAACTAATAACACCTTATAATCTATATCTAATGAAAAGGTTGCAAATATTGATTTTTCTGCATATTGTAATGATTTCTCGATTGTATAAATACCATAAAACATAATTATTATTTTCTAAGTTATATCAGGTGCATCAAATTTTTTAATATATAAAACGATGTTAATTGATGATTAAGCCATCAAATTATAAGGTGATATTGAAGTAATACTTGCAGTTCAACCAGTATCAGTTCTAATTTTATAAGTATATTCTAGTAGTGCTATTATACTTTTGAATGATGGTGAGGGATGCTACATCATTTAGATAAAATTAGAACATTAAAATACTAAATATTAGTAGAATGCCTTTATTATTGCAACTATTCCAAATTATGGTAATTATAATAATACTGGTAATTCATTTTATAACAATGAGGTTTTGATGTAATAATTTGCCGACAATTCAAGCTATTATGTGATTGGAGTTTATTATTTGAATACTCTCTTCGCTTTAGATTTACGAGAACCAATTTTGATGTAATACTCATTCAATACTACAAATATAATTTATGCAATGATTATTGATTAACAATACAATATATTAAAAATCAATATTATTTAATTCATAATATTTAAGAGATTATTTAAATAAATAATAGCATTTCCAGTGTATAAAAATGGGACAACATTATCAATTTATAACTAAACTATTTAAAAGTACACAATAAGTACTTCCAATTTAACTTGTTTTTTGAAGGGTAATTTATAGTAAGATTTTAACGTTTCAATATTTTGTTAAAATGCATTTTCAAATGGCACATATTTGATTACATTCAACCCTCCTTATATCGAAAAAACAAGAAGAAGGTGGATATTTGTTTTGAGTACAATAATTGGTTTGCTTTTATTTTATTTTTTCTATAAAGTTAAATAGAGTACAAAGCATTTAAAGTATTATTCCAATTAAATTGAATTATGATTCATTCAATAAATAAAGATTAATTAAAGTTCTAACTTCTTTGCGATTTTCCTCTTTAATTTTTTAGCAAATTAATTAGTTATTAATTATGTAAAATATTAATTCTAAATAAGATTAAACTTTTATATATATAATTTAATTATATGTTCGTTTTATAGTAAAGAGTGCTAGAAAGTAATTGAAGTGATTAATATTATAGAGTGTATAATAGACATTACTAAGAAGGCATTTGGAGATCAAATAGAAACAGAGAATAGAGGGGCATCTCTTAATCGAATAAAAAAAATTACATTAGAAACATTTTAACTTAATTATGGAGAAGAGATTTTATTACTCTAATAAGAATTGAGATAATCTTAAGAATTAATAGAGAAAACAAAGTTAGATTATTTTGATAGAGAATAATAATTAATAATCAATCTTGAATAAAAATTGTAAGAGCAATAAATATTACAATTAAAAGAATTAAATAATCTTTAAGAAATTTATGATGAACAAAATCAACTTAATAAAAAGTTAACAGTTAATATAGATAGATTAAATAGGTAAAATAATGAACTAACTTAATAAAATAATCAATTGAATAAAGAAATTTCAAATTTGAAAAAAACTTATAGTTAATTTGAATCATAATAAAAATTAAAGAGTTAAGAAATTTTTGAGTTTAGACAAAAATATGATTAATAACTGTCTGCTAATTCTGTACTTGAGTAGTAATACAAATCAATGAAATATGAGATGGAAAAAGTAATTAAAGAGATACAAAGAAAGAATTAAACTATTTTCATTGTCTACAAATATAGTTAGCTATTATATTATAAAATTATCTCAATTGATGATTAAGGCATCAAATTACTACCCTTAGTTACAGTTGAACCTTGGATTTGCAATTCAGTTAGTGGTTTTTCAAGGCTAAGTTATATATAAGATCTTGATACAGAATCGAGTTAAATTATGATTTTGGAAATAAATTCTTTAAGAACTATTATTCTTGCGAGTTATATAATTGATAATTTTACTAAATTGAGATTGTAATTTTGTGTATAATTATTTTATCTACATAATTCAGATATCATTTGGGTTTGGGTTTGGGTTTGGGTTTGGGG